TCGTTTCGAGTAGGCTGGGGTCCTAATGGCGTTCTTGTTCATTCTGGTATGCCAGTTGGCAGTAGTGGCTCTCAAAGTGTTTTATCTTCAGTAATTAATTTAGAGAAGGCTGCAGTGGACAAAGTAGCACGAGATGAAAATAACAAAATTAGAGAGGAGCTTGTTGATTTTTGTTTTGAGTCTCCACTTAGTCTTCACAAGGAAATGAGTCATGAGACGAGGGATGTTGAAGTTGGATCCTTTAAACTAAAGCTTCAAAAAGTTGTCTGCAATCGATTCACACTCTCAGAGATTTGCCGTAGCTATATAGGGATTATTGAGAGGCAACTTGAAGTTACAGGGTTGTCTTCTGCTTCTCGGGTTTTACTGATGCACCAAGTAATGGTCTGGGAATTGATAAAAGTTCTTTTTTCCTCAAGGCAAATGAACAGACAATTGAAATCTGTGGAAGTGGACCATGAGGGAGACATGATGGCTGATGCTGGGGAAAGTTCTCCTGAAGTTGACTTGGATGCACTTCCATTAATCCGGAGAGCTGAGTTTAGTTACTGGCTTCAAGAGAGTGTTTGCCACCGGGTACAGGAAGATGTGAGCTCCTTAAATGAATCTAGTGATCTGGAGCACATATTCTTACTCCTAACTGGCCGCCAGTTGGATGCTGCTGTGGAGTTGGCTGCATCTAGAGGAGATGTCAGACTAGCTTGTCTTTTGAGCCAGGCTGGTGGGACCACTGCCAACCGTTCTAATATTGTCTGGCAGCTTGATATTTGGAGAAACAATGGGATGGACTTCAATTTTTTTGAGGAAAATAGGATGCGTCTTCTTGAATTGCTTGCTGGCAATATCCAAGGGGCCTTGCATGATGTTAAAATTGACTGGAAGAGGTTTCTGGGAGTGTTAATGTGGTATCAGCTTCGACCTGACACTTCTTTACCCATTGTTTTCCACACATATCAACAGCTCCTTGACAATGGAAAGGCTCCATGTCCAGTTCCGGTGTATATTGATGAGGGACCAGTAGAACAGGCAGTAAAATGGCGTGCAGGAGAACATTTTGATCTTGCTTATTATCTTATGCTTCTTCATTCTTCTCAAGAAAATAAGTTCGGCTATCTAAAGACCATGTTCAGTACCTTTGCTTCAACAAATGACCCACTTGACTGCCATATGATTTGGCATCAGCGTGCAGTTTTAGAAGCTGTGGGCACTTTCAGTTCTGATGATCTTCACATTCTTGATATGGGACTTGTTTCTCAGTTGCTCTGTTTGGGCCAGTGTCACTGGGCGATCTATGTGGTGCTCCACATACCCCATCACAAGGATTATCCTTACTTACAGGCTATGCTTATCAGGGAAATCCTCTTCCAATACTGTGAAGACTGGAGTAGTGATGACTCACAGCGACAATTTATTCAGGATTTAGGAGTTCCTTCAGCATGGATGCATGAAGCTCTAGTAAGTCGCTCTGTTTCTTTCAAGTCTGTACATTCCTTTAGCTTGGCGTAGATTACTTGTGTTATGGTTGGGAAGCTGCAGAGATTTTTCCCAGCTCTGACAGGTTTGAGGAATTTTTATTTTGGGCTTCCTTTACAGGTGCAGTAGAAATGTAACATTAAGGAGTCAAATTGACTCGTTCTGCTCCACTTCTGGTTGTCATAGTTCATTTGCTTAAAGGGGAAAAATTAAGAGCACTATATAGGGGTTCCATTCTGCTGATCTTTTTTTTTTCAATTTAAAATGCATGCAGGCAACGTACTTCAATTACTATGGAGACTTTTTCAACGCCCTAGAACACTTCCTTGAATGTGGGAACTGGCAAAAGGCACACTCAATCTTCATGACTTCAGTTGCTCATTCTCTGTTTTTGTCAGGTGAAAGACTCGAAGCTACATTTTCTTTTTCTTCTATCTATTACTTCACTATGTTGCTCATACTGGCTGATACAATTTTTGTTCTTTTGGAGCATGTGACAGTAGTTTCCCTCAAGAATTAGATGCTTGCCACCTTATTACCAAAAAATTTACAAGTGGTTCAGATATAGTGCCTGCAAGGAGAAATTTGGAGTTTCTTCACAGCATGCTTTTGAATTGATTTAACCATTCTATATTTGTGTACATTGATTATAGCAGCGTAGGTAGAGTCACATGTCTCTGCTTTCTCTCTAGTTGTCATTAGTTTAGAACTTCGATTAGATCTCTTTTGAGAAGGGAGGCTTGGTTAATTGATTTGAGCTTATGCAAGTTTGGCACACTTGAACTCCTGGTATGGTAGCATAGAGAGGGTTGAAACAATTTTTCAACCTAGTTTTTCAAGGGGAAGCTCAGTCTGAGTTATAGGTCGTGTCTTTCAAATTTGACCAAATAAAAGTTTGATGAAGAAAACTATAAATGTTATTTTTGTGGGAGCTTGGCATTTTTTTTTTCACTATATATTCCTAGTTTACTGTTCATAAGGCTTAATTTTTTAACAATAAGTGGTAGCAAATAGTGCTAGTCCTTTTCTTTTTCTTTTTCTTTTTTTAAAATTAAACACTTTATAGTCTTGAAAGCGATAACACACTAATTTTTTTAGAGAGACCTTTCTAATCCATTAAATGTTGAGTTATGCTCCTACAACCGGTACTTTTAGGCAACATTCTGTGTCAGAATGAGTCTGCTTAGATTTGCTTTTTAATTTCCTAGCTTGGTATGATCTCTTCTTCTTTTTGTTTTTTTGGTAATATATATTGTCTTCGATTTTATATTTGCACTATTTAGGTGGTAGTAGAACATTCTTTTCCATTAAAATATTGGGCAATCATTTACATTCTGGGCCAATGGTTTACATCAAGAGATCTTCTTTGCTGCTGTTTGATGGTATTGTTTAATCTATTAAAATATCCCTACTTTTTGCAGCCAAGCACTCAGAGATATGGCGGCTCGCTACTTCCATGGAAGACCACAAGTCAGAAATTGAAGATTGGGACTTAGGAGCTGGAATGTATATTTCATTTTATTTGTTAAGGAGCTCTTTGCAGGAAGAAAGCACCACAATTAATGAACTGGTACAATTATCCTTGGAAAAGCTGCAAATGTTTGTTAGGGCGTTCCATATCTCAAGATTACATGTGTCAGCTGAATGAATGATTTCAATGTTAAAACTCAGATCTCACATGTCATGAAAATTTCACCACACAATTCTCCTTGACATGTTCCCTGATATACCATTCTCTGCCTTGTGTTCCCTCAGCATATGTTTGTGCTTTGTGTGAGGACTAATGAGCACGGTGATGGTTGCAGGATAACCTAGAGAACAAAAATGATGCCTGTGCAGACTTCGTTGGTCGAGTGAACAAGTCTTTGGCAGTTTGGGGTAGCAGATTGCCTACTGACTCAAGGTATTGATAGTATTTTCTTCTTCCTTTTTTTTCTTTAATCCTTTGGAATTTCTATTTGGATACGCAAATAAGGTAACTATACATTATAAATGTGTATAATTTGAACTGAAATGATCAGTTATAGGATGGATTTTGCTTATTTTCTACTTCATCTTTATCCTTTTCTCTTGGGGGGATGTTGAGTTAATGGAAACATGGAAGCAAGTTGGACGCTTAGCATTGAACTTGTTCATTTACCTTGTACAAGTAAAAAAAATTTTGTATTTGGATAACTATTTTGTCCTTTTTCTGTGGAGCTCAGTGAAGTTGAACTAAAGTTTTTGTTTAAAATTATTCCAATCTCCTCCTGTGCTATCTATAACCGCTTTTCTAGTTGATGTGCTGTATAGGGCATCATCTTGCTTTTGATTTCCTGTATTTTTACGGTTCTTGCGGGTTTCTTGTTTATTGGATTGTTCCTTCATTTAATTATTTAAGCATCTTCACGACGTACTGGCGTCTCAGGGTGGTTTACTCAAAGATGGCTGAGGAGATCTGCAATGTGCTTGTGTCTGAAAGCGGTGAGGGTTCAGGCATTGAAGTTCAGTTAAGCTGCTTCACGACCATATTCAGAGCACCCCTCCCAGAAGACCTTCGCTCATGCCATTTGCAAGATGCCGTCTCATTATTTACCAGTTACATCTCAGAGGCTGCCCCCCAGTAGTTCGCTTCGCTTCCACTTTGTTTGGCCAACCTTTTGTGGTTTTAAAGTTTCGGTATTTGTATGCTAAAATTCAGTAGTATCTTTGTACAATTTTCTTGAAAGCCAGACAATTTTTGTTCTTTCCTTTGGAGGAATTTTGGCGTGTAATTAGATTTTTGAAGAGGTCGGGTGACATATACGGCATGTTAGTAGAATTGAAGTGTCAGTCTGGCTGGTTGATAGAGCACACGGACGTATTTCAGGACCTGATGATGACCGGAGGTGGACAAATGGCTACTTTCGTGCCATCTGAGCATTCCATGGGAAGTCAAGTTCTCAAAGTTCATACATGCCAAATTAACGTAGTATATTTTATTGCTTTGCCACTTACCCTGAAAAATACACAATTTACCTATTTTTTGAAATCTATTTTGCTCAAATTTTTCTTTGGGAAAGGGGATTTTTTGTTTTTTTTTTTTTTGGGGGCATATAAAATTTTACAAAATAAAATAGAAAAAAACTAGACCAATGAAGAAGTGAGAATTTACTTTTATACCAATTGATTGATACCGATTCTTCTCTTCCAAAACTTGTCTAAGTTTTTCAAATTTGAGTTAAAAAATAAGAAAGTTTCAAGACTTCAAGAAAAAGAATAGTGCAGGAAAATCTCGAAATTCACCACCTAAAGTGGACAATTTTAATTAGTGAAAATCAAGAAGTAAAACGTTTGAATTTGGACATTCTAAAACTCTTTTATTTTTTGTTTTTTTTAAGGTGTAAAGTGGGAATCTAGGAAAATAGAGGGTTGAAAATTGGGGAATGCTCAAGTAGTCATCAGAACAGAAGACGTCACCAATCCTTAATCAGACAACGACCGATACGCGCACCCGCTGCTACAGTACGCCGCTCTTTGCTCTTTAAAATTAGTAGAGTAGCAGTACAGCTACAAATTGCGGATTACTAATCCAGCTCAGGAGTCCCTCTCTCTCGAGTCGGGGGAACAGCTTTTCGAGCGACGACTGCCTCAGCATCGTTCGCTCGAAGGGTTAAATTCCGCGTAATCGCAAATTCTCTCTCTCATCTCGATAGAGTTCTCGACGAGGAGGAGCAGAAGAGGATGCCTCGCAATTCATCAAGAAAAGGTCCCTCCAATTCTGCTACCTCCACCAATTCTTCCTCGGCGGTCGATCTCTTTCGCTCTGGTGATGATCCTTTCGTTTTTTTCCTTTTAATATATATCTGGAGTTGAATTCTTTCTTTTATAAATTGGAATTTGATCTTCTTCCCCTTCAAAAAATTTTTTTTTTTTTCTGATTGACATATCAGTAGTGTTCATGATGACTTGATGCTTAATTCTGCTTAATTGGACTGAAACTCCCGTATGGGAAGTTTTCTCTCTGTCGCGCATTACTAATATCTATGCTGACTTAAAATATTTCTCTTTGCTTTTTTTGGGTACTTTTATTTTCGTTGTTTGCTTTTTCTTTCTGCTTTTGGAAGCTCAGTTGGTATGGATAATATTTAATTGAAGATTATAGCCATTGTTTGCAGCTTTTTTTTTTGTTATAGAATTTGTGGTGGAGCTAGATTGGCGTGTCATTCCAAGGATAAGGCTTGAATGTTGTGCTTAGGTAAGTAATTATGCAAGGAAAATTGTGATGACTAGAGTAGTTCTTGGATTCTTAGATTGAAAATTTTGTAGAGACCTCATACTATAGTATTTTGAATTTCAGTTCTTTTGATAAATTTCTTTGACTAGAATTTCGTGTTGACTTTGTGTCAAAGGACTGCTTTTGATCGTTCGCTTTGAGGAGAGTGGGAGTAATCGAAGTAGAGGCTTATGATATGCTCTTATGCTTTCAAATTTGGATCACTATTAGCTTCACTAAGAAAGAAAACAAAAACATAAGGTTGAGCTTGGGAATATGCTGTCTTTGTGACATGTCCTCTTCTTTGGTGAACTTACATCCTGGATGATCTACTTTTGAGTTGGATATCAAGCCCAGTTAATGGTTTTCAGAGCATGTCGATTTGATAATAAGGGTGTGAACTTTAGCCTAAAAAATTATCAAGGTATGATTTTGAGGTGCCAGCTAAGGACTAAGAGAGTAAAAGGACACAACATTGCATTTTCTGCTGCTTGAAGCAATTAGCATTGGAATAGCCATAGTTCAGGACGGGTTAGCAAGAGTGGCTGGGAGGTTGGGAATGTTTTGGACTGCACAGAGTCAACAAGATGAACTTTAACAGGATAACTTGTCTTCTCTAGGCTGACAACTTCATGGTCTCACTATTCTTTTTATCTTTGTTCTTTTCTTTACTTGTCAATTAACAGCATAAACTTGTCTTCTTTAGGCTGAGAACTTCATGGTCGCTGTTCGTTTTCTCTTTGTTTTTTTCCTTTACTTGTGACCTTGTTTTTCCTTTTATTTTCTTTTGTTGGTGATGGTTAATGGAAGAATAAGGGTTACAGCATATAGTTAAATGGTGCATATCTCCCTATTTCCCCTCCACCCTCAAAAAAGAAAAGAAGAAGAATTCAAGAAAAGATCTAGTGTCAAAGACTTGAGAAACCCTCATATAAACCATTTGTTAGCCTTCTGCCTAGGACTTTTGATGTCAGTTAATGATTGTAAGAAAATAATGATATTAGGACATTTGCCTGAGCTTCTTGGTGAAGTAGTGTTGTATTCTACATCTTAAACTCAATTGAGTTGTGCATTATCTTTATTTTTCATATAAACAAAAAAAAATATGAACAAATTTGCTCGTTTGGCTGATTTGTTGTAAGGTACTTGATCAGTTTAATCTTTTCAAAATTATTTTCTTTTGGATAACTAGTGACATTCTGAATTCTAAGAATATGCAATTATTATAAATTTTTCGTGTCATTTGCATTTACTAGCTGATAACGGTGATATTCTTGTCATGTGATATGATCTTGTGATACAACAGAAAATTTCAGCACATTAAACTCTCTTTTTCATCAGTTGTATTTTTAATTCTTCAGCTACAGGTAAAGCTGCCAGCAAGGAGCTGGAGCGAATCGATCAGCTCTTCTTTTCATATGCAAATAATTCATCTGGATTAATTGAGTGAGTGTGCAAATTACATTTCCTATTCTGTCCGTGTCATTTGAGCAAGTCTGTGAATTACATTTTATATTCTGTCCATGTCATTTTGTGATATATTTTTCACCCTACTGATTGAATTAAATCTTATAATCTTCATCCATTATTGGGATGACACTTCTCTCAGACCATCAGTTTTCTGCTTTTGAATCAAGAATTTTTCTTGTTCATGCTGTTCATCGTGTCATTCACTTTTTGACGAATGGCTGGAAGCAAATATGAGTTCAAGCAACAATAGAAGCACATTGAACATTGAACGTTTCACTTCTTTTCACATGGTCTATAACATGTGTTAGTGATTATGCTATAAGAATTGTTGTCTAGTTGAATACAATTCTAAAATTCTCTCTTCTTAGGAGTTGGGTGATTGCATAATTGTCATTTCTGATTGTTTCCTTGACTAGCCCTGAAGGAATTGAATCTTTTTGTTCTGATTTGGAGGTGGATCATACTGATGTCCGGATATTAATGCTGGCATGGTAATTTTTCTTTTCAGTTGTGATTTTCATTCACATAGTTTCTTGTAGTTCTGAAATACTGGCGAATGTTAATCTCAGGAAAATGCAAGCTGAGAAACAAGGATACTTTACCCTGGTAAGGAAGCAAAACCGAGAGCATGAAGTATTATGATTAGAGCACTATCTGTTGTGGCTTTGGCTTCTTTTGGAATGGAATCATGTTTGACTCTTGGATTTTGATATTTTTAACTGCAACAAACCTCGTGGATAATGACAATTAATAACATTAAGATGGATGAGGAGTTGCATCTTTGTCAATAGTGACTGCAGACCAACTATTGAAAAGATGACTAGCATCTGTTTGACTATGCCTTTGGGCTTTTGGCTCCTAAATGATGCTTCATTTGTCGTAATATGCGAATGAAGAGAATTAATTTTTATCCTTTTAAATGCTATACTCTTGAATCCAAACAGAGCCCTATGATTTTCTAGATTTCTTGAGTTAATGAAGCCACTCTCTTTCTAGGATGAATGGAGAAGAGGTCTCAGAGCATTGCGAGCAGATACAATTGTTAAACTGAAAAAAGCACTTCCTGACCTTGAGAAAGAGGTTAAATTATTTTTACTCTACAACTTTGATAAGTTAATGGTATCATGTCTTGATGCTCCCTAGAAAGAGAGTGACCAAGGGAGATTTGGTTGGTTTCGCTTTAACCTTTTTCCTACGTATTTTATAGGTTAGGAGACCGTCAACATTTGAGGATTTCTACACATATGCGTTCCGATATTGTCTAACAGGTGAAATTCTGTCTGTGCAAGTGTTGTCACGTTTTTGAAATTTGTACTCCCCTTTTCTCCTTCTCACCTTCTATTCTCTGATTTTTTTAGAGGAAAAACAAAAGAGCATTGATATTGAGAGTATATGTGTTCTACTGGATCTTGTTTTGGGATCCCGATTTGGACCACAAGTTGACTATTTGGTTCAGTATCTTAAGGTGAGTAAATATTCTTCTTTCATAACACTTAAATTGAAAGTTATTCTTATTCCAAGATAGCCATATCATTCTCAGGACTTTGCGTTTAATTTTAATGAAGAAACCTTATTCACATAGTTGTCTTGCTGCCCTCTTTTTAAGAATTGAGTATTATATGATCTTAGCATGTCTGTGGTGTATGTGAACTTCTGCAACTTGCCATGATGTGGTACCACAGAGGTGACATGGTTCCTTTTTGTCGTAATTAATTATTATTGTTTGCAATTTGAGTTAATTTTACAGGAACAGCTGTGGGATTTTATTGTTTTGAGCAAGAGGTGAAATAGGTAATCTTTGCTAATACTTTTGTGGCTTTGATTTTTCTGCAGACACAGACTGATTACATGGTTATAAACATGGATCAGTGGAAGGGGTTTTATCGTTTTTGCACTGAGGTAGGTTGGTGTTGGTTCTTTCATTTTTATTCCCCAGATGTTTGTCAAATCTTCTAGTAAAGATGATCATCTCGTATTGGGATTCATGTTGATGATCCTGACACTGGTCTAGTTTGTGGGTATCCTCCGTTTTAGTTACATGAACACCCTATATGTTAAATTACATTGTTTGTAACCTCATCCCGCTGCGTGATTTTGAATTCTTGACCTTCTGAGCTTGATGGTTCTTGTGACAGATAAGCTTCCCAGACCTTAGTAACTATGACCCGGACTCTGCTTGGCCCTGGATCTTGGATAATTTTGTTGACTGGATGAGAGCGAAGCAGGGTTAAGGTTAAATTTAGATGCAAACTTAGCCTTCCTCCCCAAAATGCCATCCTCAAAGTAAGCAATCACGTTCCCTATTCCATAGATGGGGATGCTCAGCGGTCTCAAATGTGACAAGAGGCGTCATTGCACAATCTATTGGCTATGTGACTTTCACGTGTGTGCGGGACCAGATATGTTGATCCTCAAGCACGAGTTTAGCGCAGGGGCTGTTAAGAGTCTTGTCACAATATTATGCTTAGCATTGTTATGAGATGAATTCAGATCTTTTTGGGAGAATGCATTACCATTATATGACAGAATTGATATGCTTGCAGGATTCAAGCAAGACTATACACATCAAGTTGGCTGCCTTCTGCACCATCTTCTGTTTAGAAGCTTTTGCTTTTATTTTTACTGATTGATGTTCTTTCTTTCCTTTTTTTTTATTGGGTGTAGGGAACGGATAAAAAATGAAAGGTGCCTTATTCTTGCAGAACTGAATCTCTTGCTAGAACAGCTTCGCATCTAGTTGCTTCTGTGTTACATGGAAAACTTGTTACTACTATATAAAAGTTTCAATATTGTCGTCTGCTTGTATTTTGCGCTCCCTGTTCTCTATTGGCATTTTACAGCTGCTTTATACGATGCCTTGAGCAGATTTAGCGGTGGCAGGAAGATGATATGATTGAATGGTAAGCTGGTGGGGCCTGTTTCAGGTACTGCTGGGACTTTTTGCAGCTAAAACGCAGAAAGTTGGGGGACAGTGGTTGGTAAATCAAGAAAAGGAGTCCCCATAATTCAAAAAGCAGTTGAAGTAATATCTACTTTACATGCAAAATATTCTCAAGAAATCAGCCAAGCCCCCGTGACATTGGATGTGGAATACCATGAGTCGATTAGGGCCAGCAACCGCTAATGAGGAATTACATGTCTTAGTTTGGTTAACAACTACTTTTGACTGTTGGTAGATGCCCTCACCCTGGTGCTTAATTCCTTAACGAACTGGATTTGACAGGAGCAAACCAGGAACCTATATATCTATCTAACCAGCGTGAATGAATAACAGAAATGTCAAAAATCTGGGTGTGAAGCGACCCACTTTACATTTTGAGTTCCTTTAGTGTCTGTAAAATGAAAAAGAATCAGAAATGGAACGCCCAATTCACTGGATGGAACGCCAAGACGTGGTTCTAAACACGTTAGTTATTATATTATGGCACAAAAAATTTGGGTCCGACAAGTTTAATGGTACTTTTTAGGTGCATTTTCAGGTCCAAATTAATCCAAGGACTCTGAATGTACAAATATGACAAAAGTTTCTTGAGAGGGGTAAGCACTATAGATCACCCGGGATGGGGGAAAAAATTAAAAAAGGTTTTATATAAACCCACATGAAGACATCTAGGAAGAACTAGAGCCAGGAATCAATGGTGAAGATGGAGGATGAGAGGTTCTACTTGGATCCCTATTCGTTGAATCTTGTGAGGATGAAGATGACGATGAACTTGAAGGCGAATTCGATCTTTTTGAGCGGCTCCTGAGTTTCGTTTTCTCGCTATCGCAGACCTTGTCTTCGATTGTGTGATGACCAACTTTAGTTGTGTTTAAGGTCACTGGAATGATACACTTACAGAAGAAACCTGAGAGCCAAAAGAGAAGATACATGATGTTTTTAACTAAATCCGACATGAATAGACTCCCAAAAGCTTCTGCTAATTCAGGTAATAAGCATCAAATCAAATGGTTGTTCGTAATCGTTCACACACACACACACTCTCAACTCAAAATGCAGAACAACCAAAATTTATATCTTTTCGTAGACCTTGAAAGCTAGTAAAAAAATGTGATGGATTCGTGAGTTCTGGTATCCTTTTCAAACGGTAAGCAAAACTACTAGTAGTTTTTAGCCGAATGTTCTATTTGGTTTCTTCTTATAAAGAAGAAAAAAAAACTTCGAGACTCAATCAAAACCATTTAAAAGCAAATTACAGCACACAGTTCTAGGAAGATTGCACAAAAATTTGAGATAAAAAAAAAAGAAAGCACAGAGAAAGAGGGAGAAGGTTGGGATGGAGGCTTTTACCTAGCTTGGCAAGGCGATTGACCCAGCTGGGAATTGGATTCCCAGTGAGCTTAATGCAAGCATCATTGCAGAAATGGTTACAATTCTTGGTTATGAGATTGTACGCATTTCCTCTGTACTTTTCAGCAAGCTCCTCCATCACTCCCCTCACCTGCCCTGGTGTCATTTCCGTCCATCCCATCAACAGCGCTTTCCTAAACGTGAATCCATCGCACTGCTTTGGTCCCCCTTCGAAAATTCCGGTCGTCGGATACTCATGAGCTCCAAATGCATACTCCACCCCGTGAACTGCCAAGTTCCATCCCACCCACATGATCATTAACCATTTTTACTCTGTTTGTAACCTTTTCCTTTCCTTTTCCATCTATGTAGTTATTCCTTTTCTTTCTTTGTCCCTCCTGTTCAAGCTTTCCTACGGTGTAACTTGTTGCAATTGAAATAATCAAAGAACACTTTTCTGCTCAATCTAATCAAATTCTATGTGGGTTTTTCTTTTCACCAACTATCAAGCCAATGTAGATCTGAATTTGCATAGATTCAGAGCTATAGATAGTAGCATAACAGTTACGTCTTTCAGTTAAAAATTTTTTTTTTTTTTTTTTAAAAATTCTGCCAAGCTTGAGAGAAAAGCAAGAACGAATTCTGACCTTGAACTCCGGAATGGTAGACCCCGAGGCCGAGCCAATAAGCATACCCATTAATGGATGTAAGGTCATAAACATTCAGGTACACTGGCACTGTTCCGCGGCCATTTTTAACTGAACTTTTTCTGCACAACATTCTTGAATTTACTCTGTAGTGAAAAAAAAATTTGAAAAAGAATATGCAAGAATGAATATATATATATATATATATATATATATATATGCACTAAAATTTGAATCTTTATTTGATGATGAAGAAGAGAGAAAATTGAGTTGAGCAGCTTTCGTGAATGTTATCTGTGACTACAAACCGGCGGCATATCAGTGCCGCAGCGTCTAATTTTGGCGGACGGGAAAGAATATATAAAATCTCGGGGAAGGAGAGAAATGGCCCTGAGGTTGAGTGGGAATTACAGCAAGGACCTGAGGTGATTGGTTGGAATCCCAGCTGTGTAAGTGTAATCTAATTTTTTAAAATTTTGAAAATTCTTTTTGGGAGAAAGTAACGTACATTCATTATGAGAAGTAGTGGCAGGATGTTTATTTTATTGGATTGATTAGGAGGTTAGATAGGGTGGTGAAGGGGGTTTATGAGGAGCTTAAAGCAATTTTGATTATATTAAGGTATGATTATCTGTGATTATTATTGTATACATATTGGTGCAAAGAATTGACAGAATGTGATAATCCCTGGTGCGGAGTAAGTTGTTGGGACTGGGCCATGCAAGAATTGATTTTTGATAATTCTCCTTGTCCTCCTACATCTTCTTCAAGAAGCTCTTTCTTCTTTCTTTCTTTTCCTCCCATTGCAATTAATTTCACAATTAGTAAGTGAAAAATGCAGCATCCTGATTAAATCTCTAGTAGGGTAACGGCTAATCTATAATTTTTTTGTGTTTGGATTGTATTTTCCATGATTTTTCATGAAAAAATTACTGTAGCGATTTGATGTATACGAGGGAAAAATGTAATGTGATCACGGAAAACAACGTAGTTTTCCGACGGAAAACTACAATCCAAACAAGGCAACCTCGGAATCAAAGGTTTGAAATTCTGAAGATAATAAATATGTGTGTGTGGGTTTTTGTCGGACTACATATGTCCAAGAGAAAGGCAGTATATTGGTTTCTCGTTTCCTTTTTTTCAGTTCTATGCCTTGATTCTGACTCTCATGTTAGTCACGGAGTAGCTTCATTTGTCAACAGTCAAAGCCAAATCAAGAAAGTGAATTTGTCGAGAAAGATTTGCTTAAACAATTAGCATGAGTGAATGGTGTATTCAAGATTTTTCACTATTAGCAAAGTAGATCTTGGCTTAATAGTTAAAATTGAGATTTCAAGGTTCAAAAATTTTAGATTCAAATTCATCTTTTCCATTTTCGTTTCTTAAACACCACCATCCCCCTGTTTACAACCAAAAAAAAAAAAATAGAAAAAAAATCTCAAGATTAACGCCCTAACTCAACCCAAACCTCCATAATCACCATTGTTAACAGCATGAGTGCCACCGGCCACCACTTACTACTACTGGCTTCATCTCATAGTTTTATCTTATCCTGAGGTACATCATTTCATAACTACCATTGCACCAAATCAGGTTGGAATAGTAGGCCCATTTTATGCTAATGCTGATTGAAATTGTTTTAGTACTAATGATGGTTCATTTGAAAAAAGTGGCAGCACATAGGAATCAAAAAACCATAATGTCGAATATCATTTTCTTTTCTTTTCTTTTCTTTTCTTTCTTAGGAATAAAGACCTCATTGGAACTCACATCGATTAAGGCTTCAGATACAATTTCAGGAGTGGGGACGGAGGGAGGTAAGGAGAAATAGGTGATGGTCGAAGTGGGTAAAAGTTATTAAAATGACTATTGATTATCATCAGTACACCTTAAAAAAAAAACACAATTTGGAGAAAATCGGAATTCTTTGTGCCCAAAAGAACCTTTTATTTTATCTCCATGTTTAAAAAAGAAAAAATTGTTCAATTCAATCTTTCATTCTCTCAAATTAGCACGCATACTTGGTATGCTTATGAACATATACTTCAATGAAAAATTGCTAAAAGATAGATCATGTCCAAGCCCCGATTTGGTTGATCTACATAAAAGATTTGAAGAAAAAAAATTAAGGGACTTATTCTGCCAAGTTCCGAGACTAATTCAGCCAAATTGGCAAAATTTCAGAACTTGATGGACCAAAACTGCAAAATTTTGAGCTCGAATCCTGATCTTCCAGTCCATTTTCTCCGCCCGGAAGCGAATTTAGGAGTAGCGCTAAACAAAGGACTATTTATTCGGCATTCCCCACCAAAAAAACAAGCATTGTTCCCTCTGTGAAATGCTGATGACTGAAGAATGAGAAGCAGGGGACAGATATGGGGCCTATTCTCAAAGCGATTCAGACGCTTTCAAAGCAGACCCTTTTGCACCAACAAGCCCTCCAACGCTAACAACAAGAATGGCACTAATATTATTATCAAGGAGGAGGCTAATGCTGCTGATGAGGCTTCTTCTTCATCTATAAGCCGACAAGATGCCTATAAAGAGCTGGAAAACCTCAACTTCATGACTGCTGCGAAGATTCTCTTTACCACTCCCCCCAAAAACAAGAAATTTGGGTACAGTTTATAGGGAGTGCATTCATTTTACTTAATACGTGGCATGCTATTAATCTGTCTTTCTAGTTGATTTCTTTTAGGCATTTCACCGAACAGCTTCTGCACGTGTTTTTTTGACTAAATTGTTGGTTGGATCATGGCAAAGTTTCCGTTTTTATGGGATTGTTGTGAGTATTCCTTTTGCGAAATTTACCTACGACTAGTCTTATAAGACGTGACTAATTTATGTTCCGAAAGAGGCTTTGCTAGCATTAGCAAACTTTATGAAGAATTTTTTGTGATGGGAACGGTCAATGCTTGAATTCGTTGAAGCTTATATACATTCTTGGTGCCTATTCCTGGCAATTGTTTTCGAGCCTTTGGAGGTAATGGCTCATTCCTTGACTGGACAGTGCTATTACAATTCTTCATAGCTTTTCTGTAGTATATCTGCATATTATGTAAAGATCAAATGGAATGCTAATTTAATAGTTATTGAGCAAAAGAAGGGTTGAAGTGACAGCAGAAAAGCATAAAAGAGGGAATCTGTTGCCTTCTCTTATGCTTGATATATTGACTCCGTAATCATGGCCTATCGAGGGAGTTGGTACGCTCTCATATGATTTCCATACGAGGCTTCTCAAAGCATTTTTATCTGTGTTCATACTGTTGCAAGACGATTGGTGACCTTTTATGTTTTGCTGGAAAATGGCATTTTTGTTACCATTGCTCCCGCATTCTCCTAATGTATTTCTCATTGATGGTCAGGCTTGACTTCCATCTGGTACAACTCTTCTTTGCCTGCTTGCCATCACTGGGTACTTACAATCACAAACTCTCACTGTATAATTGTTTTTCAAGTTGATAAAGGTGTTAATATGTTTTTGCTGTTTTCCCTGGCAGCTGTGTATTTTGTGGCTCAGTATGCTCGCTCAGAAATGAGAAGAATGGATGCGGTATGACAACCTTATCTTTTCACTTCAAAGGCGCATTGCTTTGACAGTTTTGCTTTTCAATTATAGCACAAGCTTCAGCAAATCATGATTTAGTTGATGATGTGAGATTTGATTGAACTTGAGACTAAAAATTGCCCTTTTGCACATTTAAGAGTCAAGCAGACATTGAACCATTTTTATCCGATACATCACTGTTTTCAACATAAGATATAATTGTTTTCTGAGGTTTTAGATTATGAATAATGTTGGCTGTTGAAGAGATTGTTAATATACTCCTCATTTTTGCTTAATACCAAGTATTTTCGGACACTAAATCAGCTGAAATAAAAGGGCACAAAACTTGTTGCACCTTTAAGAGTCAGGTAGACATTAGACACTTTCTATCTGATATTTCACGGTTTTCAATAAAAGAGTTAACCGTTTTCTGAGGTTTTGGATTATTAATAGTGGTGGTGGCTGTTCAAGAGTTTGTTAATACACTCATCATTTTTGCTTAGTGTCAAATCAGCTGGAATAAAAGGGTACAAAACTTGGTTTCTGAAATGATGGTGTTTGTGTTTATTCGTATGGCTGTTAGGATTTTCTATTGCAGGCTTCCTTCATGACTACATTCTTCAATTTAGGTTACGACTGGAGTGCTGCTTTTTAATTGAAATTAAAAACAGTAGAAAAGAGTAAGATGTTCAGCTACATATTCCGGATTAACTAGAAGTACCTATTATCCTTGAGTGATATCGATCATGAAGTGATATTCCAATGAATTGATCTCTTTCGCAAATACTTCCTGTTTAAACTGGATATGATATAAAATACTTTTCAAACTTTTCTCCAAGAACTTAAACTCTTAAGCAAGCAATCCATCATCTTATGGTGTCAAGTTGTAGTTTTGCACTGTAAATTGGCTTCTTATTGATTATGCTCCCACTGAAAGTGCAACATCAGGAACTGGAGGTGAAAAAAAAAGCTGAAGAAGAGGCAAAAGCAACAGAGAAGGCTGCCGAAGAACAAGAAATGACATCTGATCCACAGCTTTTGGCAGTAAAGGTGAGACTAGATAAGCTGGAAGAGACGGTGAAAGAAATTGTGGTGGAATCAAAGAAAAAATCAGCCGATCCCAGAGATAAGGGTCAGGTTGATGATGGTGGAAGAAAGCAACCAACAATGGTTAAACCCAACAATAGCGCAGGAGATGCCAGCTCTTTTAATGCTGCTAAGGGCAGCCCCAGCAAAGAGGCTGGCGAGGGTAGGACACCATCCACAGCACTCACTGATGCTTCGCAGGGTGATCAAAAGTCCAGCAAAAACTACGAGCCCTCTTCTGATGTAAAGAAGTGAAGAGCGATTAGATTGAATTTTGATCAGATTTGTCAAGCCTTTTTATACATGGGCAAAAAACATTTTTGCAGCAAGAATTGGATGGAAATTCGGAGACTTGTAAGAGCCGGAGAGGTAATGAGCATATGTGTCAATTGCTCGGATAGATTGACAAGTAATCATTTTTGAGGGACCAATGCTGTACGATCACTGGAACGCCAACCCAGGCGGGCTTTAGACATCTAGAATCTTGAATTTCTTGGAGGCTCTACATGGAGCAGTTTTGGTGATTGTAGCTTTTCCCAATCTTTTCAGGAGTTCATTTGGATTTCATGGCTCTACCTTATGTATAAGCGAATATGCATTTTGGAAACCATCTTCGTTACTTCACAGTGCAGTAATAATAGAAAAATTAGAAATTAGCAACCTATTGCTCTTGTCAGGTGAGATAAAGTAGAATTGTGCACTTTGTAAACAAATCACTAGGAATATTCTGCACAATGTGGCAGACAGTCATATGTGTGTATCTGGATGAGGGGCAGGAGCGGTCATCAGGTGGACTGCTCCTGAGCTGTTAATGGTCGAGATTTGGCTTCAAAAAATTATACGACTCAGATCATTTCATGTATCTCGTTTTTAACAACGCATGTGGAGTTTACAAAAATTTGTTCTAAAGTTACACGTTGTGCAAACAAAGTTACGTCGTGTGAAGATAAAGTTACGCGGTGTGCAAAATACACAAAATCGCTAGGTGCAATCGTTCCTGTCCCCGGTCCGTCTGTATCTTGATTAACCTCCAACCACACTCCCATCGTCAAAAAGAAAGAATGCTCTTCAATTGCAGTTGATGCCTTGCTGCATAATACCTCCGACGAACGTTGGTGCATGCATGCATTTAGGTTAAAAACAATTATGTTGTTACAAATTTTTTGATCCTTTTAATTGCAGTCTTGGATTCTATTCTTTTAAAATAGTGCAACTTCAATATTTGGCAAGTAACCAAAAAAAAAAAGGACCAACATGACTTGGTCCAATATATTTCAAGCCCATTATACCCCGCAAGGAAAAAGATTGCTCAACAAAATCATTTCACGGTACTTGTCTCTGATGTCGGAGCTAGGGCTGGAGGGCCAGGGAGACAGGTGATAGACCCTCCTTAAACCCTCAATCCATCATCGGACTTGCCACAGACCTCACACAGTAACACACGCAGAGATCATGGCACATCGCTTAGTGAGACCTCTACGAGGGACCACGACAAGACTTCTTCAGCAGCTACAGTTGAAGTCCTCCAGTGCACTGAACCCGGCATACTCAAGCAGAAATTACATATCAGAGATGCGAAAAGAAGCATTTGAGGGCAATATTCTCAGACTTCTCCGCAATGAAACCCAATACGAACTCGACCACTCTCCTCCCTCCCGGGTACTCATTTAACCTCGTATACTATTATTCGCTGTTACTGTTCCTGTTCTGTTTCTCATCAATTTCCCTTGCCAATAACCAAAGTTATGTTCTTTTATACCTGAATTATTCCGGGGTTACGGTTTACTCATTTCTTTTCTCTTTTTTTCTTTTTTTGGTTAATTGACCCTCTATTTTTTTTCATCAACTGTCCTTGCCAATAGCTAAATTTTTGTTCTTTGTCGCTGAATGATTAGGGAGTTAGTGTTTCACTTACTTACCAAAACCCCCTACTTATTTATCTATCTTTCCAATCCTTATTGCTGAATTATGTGAAGCTTCGGTCTTGATCATCGACTTTAGGCTATTTGGTCGCCTCTGGAGAAGTTTTAATTGTTAGGGATGTGGGATGCTTGCCCGATCGCCTTTCTCTTATATCCCTTGGCAAGATTTTAATTGGTGAAATAACATAACATGATGTTAAAGCAAATCAGTGATGGAACTGGACCTAACAGGAATTCTTCTGTCTGCTAAATGGGAACCCGAACACATGAAGTCCTGTACAGAGTGGTATCTTATGTTCTAAAACTGGTCAGCTAACAAAATACAAGTTCATAGTAAATTTTCTGGGGTTAATTAATTTCTCCTAAGAGATTTGTACAAAATATATCGCCTGTAAAATCTAGAAGGAAGAGATGATTTTCAATTTTTAGGACAAGTTCGACCATTGTGAAGTAAATGTGTGCTGCTGCTGCCTTAGTCAAGCATCATTCTCCATGCTATGCAATGACTGGTGAATTGTTGTTTTAAATTAGTTAGAAGGTTAGTCCAGGTTACATGGCGCTTATTGTATCAAGGTTCCTTTGAGTTTGTTTCAAGCGGAGGTACCACTTATTAATCTTGTAGGACTGTGGCAGAGAACCTCTTCAAATATGTAGAAATATGAGGGATGAATATGAGAAATGACTAAATTGTGACGTTCAAGGAAATATGTAATTGACAATCACAATTGACGAAACAAATGAAGGGATAGAAGCAACAAAGCACATTCCAACTGATAATCTCTTATTGCAGCCTATTCCAGAATTTCACCTTTTTACAGTTGATGAAAGGCCTGGAGAGCAGTGGATCAGATTGAAGAAGAAATTTGGAGAAACTGAAGAGATCAAAGTTGATGTAACAATGTTTGATGTGTCTATCCCAAAAAAGAAACCAGGTGGTGTTGTCACAGAGGATGACGTGCAGCTTCGTGTTACTATGATTGTCAATATCTGCAAGGGGGAAGGTGTTGATGTTTTGGAGTTTGTTTGCTCTGCATGGCCTGACACCATCGAGATTCGGAAAGTTTATGCTCGTGGACAAAAACAGATTACAAGTCCACCCTACATGGGCCCGGAGTTTAAGTATGTAATTGTTTTGCTTTGCTTCTTGAAGTCATCATGATTTAACCGAACATGGTCCTTGTCTCAAGTGTTATTGGTACTTGCTTTCTTAGAACATGATGTTGTATATTCAGGAAGAAGGATGTAATGCTACCATTTTTGTGAAAGCTGGTGAGAAGTAACAATCATAGCATACAGTATTTACTATTTGTATCCTGTATCTTGTTTGCCGCCTCAAGTGAAGGGAACAAAGAAATGGAAGCCAAAGAAAAAAGAAACACCTGAAGAAATGGATTACATTTGTATTAACCTGTTGTATATGTATATATAAAATTTTCCTAATGGTACAAAACTATCTGAAAACCAGAAACCATGGTGTCCTTTTTCTTTGTTTCTCAGCAACTGAGGGTGGAGCTTTAGCCCTTCATATTATGCTTGTTCTGATTTGTATTTGTGGTTTTTTCTATATGCAGGGAATTGGATGATAAGCTGCAAGATTCGCTTTATGATTATCTGGAGATAAGGGGTATAAATGATGACCTTGCTGCATTCTTGCATAGTTACATGAAGAATAAGGATAAAACAGAATTTATTCGTTGGATGGGTACAGTCAAATCTTTTGTTGAGAAGAAACAGTAGTAGTAGTCAGGCTACACTTATCACTAGTTGCGGTATCTAGATCATTTGATTGCAGTATAGGAAGGATGAGACTTCATTACTTGTCATCATCTTTGAATTTCACCTCAAGCGTAAGATGTGTCACCTCAATTTTAACATAAGATTGGAAGTAGGCTGACTTTTTCCCGGCTTTTCTATTGGCTGTTCAATTTTCTTGGATTTTCTTATTCTTGTAATGTGGAGTTGAACATTAAAAAGATTCTGTATGCTGTACAAGTCAATTTATGAAGTTCTGACAGATTTTTCTGAGCAAATTTTTAGTTGGTTGCACAGCTTGATTGTTTGTTTAGATAACAGAATAATCAGTTTGATAGATAATGGAGATCATGATTTCTGACAAACCATATGAATGCAGCATCGTACTGTTTTATGTGTTTTGTTGCTTCTTATCGTCGCCCAACAAAACTCATTAATGTCAGGGTATGTTTAGATTAGAGATGATCAATCATCAATTCTCATGCCAGTGTCACTTATTCTCTGTTGTTTCCTTTTCTTTGTTTTTTCCCTTCTTCCTGAATATCGATTGAGTATTTGGTATGATAACTGGAGAAAATAAACACGCGGTTAAAGTTGTCAATAGGGAAGAGCTTACCTGTGAATTTTGGTATTACCAGCAATAGTCTTCATCAAGGATGAAGCATATATTACCATGTTGATTGTTAATTTAGTACCTTTTAGAAACAACAAACGTGCTTGTGCACTGTGCCGACCTTTTGATTGGAGATTTGTTGATTTCACCTCCTTTATAATAACCTCATTAAACACAAGGCCTCATTATGAGCATCTGTACATGATTCATCTTGGATTTCGCCAGTATGAAGTACCGATTCTGCTGCTGCTACTATGGAAGTATGCCTATTTGCAGGTCCTTTGCCTTCTTTTTATTCAACAATAAAGAGCGGGGCTGTCTGGTAGGTACTTTTAGTTTGTCAACTTCGCAAGATTGTACCAGGAATACCTTTTTTTTTCTTTCATTTTTTACTCTCACTGATTGAAAAGACTGCCTAATTTTGCTCTGAATGTTGTGCTTGCAGTTTCTAATACTTTCACAGAGTTATTCTTTGGAGGTTAAACTTAGCAGTTTCATTTTTATTCAAGATATATATATATATATTTTTTTTTTTTTGTGGGGGATTGGATCTCTGGGAGGAGCAGCTGACCCCTCATTTTCATGGGGTCAATTTAACTGAGGCTCCGGAGGGATAATGAAAGTTACTGAAGCTATGACCACATTTTTCTCCAGAACAGGAGTCTCCACTGAAGTGAATGTAATGTTTTCTCAAGCTAGCTTTACAGCAATGGGCAGGTGCTGATGACATCATGCAATGGATATACTCTCCCAGTTTCAACAGGTGCTTAATGTTTGGTATGTGTGAAAGGATGTTTGATATCATCCTAAAAAACAGTTGTGTTTTCTGAGGATGGGACAACCAGATAATTGGCCCTTCGTTAAAGAATAGATAATTTGAGCCGCATAATGCCTGAAGAGAAGAACCAACTTTCGTTTCCCCACCGTAGCATACGTCTGTTCGTTTCCCACCTAGCGTACACCCTCGTTCCTGGTCTCTGGGTGTTGAACCCACGGTTCAAGTTAGTCAAAACCTACAGAATAATGAAGCTACACGCTTCTTCAGATTATTAGGGGGTCAAACTTCAGGATCCCTGATCAGGATTTTGTTTGTTGAGGCAAAAGGTTATTTTGATCTGAATATATTGAATCGTTTTAGTGCCACCGACTAACAAATTTTGCCCAGAGAAAGAAGAAGAAGAAGAAGACTATGACAAAATTGTTGACAAAAGCTTAAAATTGTTGACTTAATTTG